GTGTGTGTGTGTGTGTGTGTGTGTGTGTGTGTGTGTGTGTGTGTGTGTGTGTGTGGAAAGTACAAGATTTAGGGGGGGGGTTGGAAGAAACATCATATCGGAAACATAACGTCTGAAACATAATCCCCTCACATCTACCAACGCCTGACACACACACACACACATAACACACACACAACACACAACACACACACAACACACACACAACAATGTATGTGCACTGAAACACTGTTCACCCGCACCTTTCGCTTGACGAGGTTGAGCAGGTGTGGCTTGTCGCGCTGCACGCACGGGTGCACAAACTCCCACACTTGATCTGACGCGGTTTTAAGGCCACCAGCGTCCACGCCAACAACCTTGTGGAAGCCGTCTGCCAAAGGAACATGAACAACATCGTGAACGAAGATCTCTCAACAATCCATATTCCCAACAACTGCATGCACACTGCATTCCTAGCACGCATTTGCACAGAAGCAAACCCGTACACAAGCTCACGCACGCGCACATATGCACACAGTGTACAGTCACCATCACAACCCTCGACAGTCCCCCCCCCCTCTCCAACAGCGCTCAACATGCTTGCAGGAGACTTACACATATTGAGCTGTCTGACGAGGCTGGTGAAGTTACTGTGCTTGAAGTAGCGCGGGAGCACTTCCTTGGCCAGCGTGGCTGCATCGTGCACCTTGAACGTTTGCCCGCCCTGTGGAGAGATACAGACAAGTAAATGTGTAAGTGTGTGTGTATGTGGTGTGTGTGTGTGTGTGTGTGTGTTGTGGTGTGTGTGTGTGTTGTGTGTGTGTGTGTTGCGCTTGTGGAGGCAAACGCATGGACGTCACTGGCGCGCCCATTTGACAAAACGTGCGCACACGACCAGTGCCAGTGTGTGGCGATCCAACGCACCCCCAGCAGCCATTGCAAACAGAAATCGCAAACAGGAACCGCACGACCGAACAAACAATTGCACATGCCACAAAACGGGCAAACAGAGCACAAGTTCACAACGCAAACGAACACAAAACGCAGGAAACACACACACAACCAAACAAACAAACACGAAACGCGGCAAAGCCCCCACCTCAGTCCAGGAGATGAGATGATCAATGGAGTGGTCGTTGATCATGGTCATAAGCTTGGAGATGAAGGCCGGCACTGCTGCCTTGCTGTTGCCGTTGCCGTTCTTGGACGAAGTTGCGCCCGACTCCTGCGGTGGTGGAGGAGGGATATCGCCCACATGCTCCTCAATCAGCGGCGCAACCTTGACGTGCGGCGTGGTCGTGGCTGTGGTTGCCGGCGGTGCGCTAGCGGGCCCTGCCGTGGAGTACACGGGTGTAGAGTTCTGGGGCTGGATCGTTGCACCGGGGACCGCAGAGGTGTGCTGTGGTGTCGGCCCTGCGACCGTGTATGCCGGGGGCGCAGACATGGGTGGCGCTGCGGGCGCGCCATGCTGGTGGTAGTGGGCTCCTACGCCATTGCTGTGCGGCGCGGGGGCGCGCGCTGTGGCGGGCACGAACGTGGTTGGGATCTGTGCCTGTGCCTGCCGCGTACCAAACGACATCGCCTGCGCCGGGCCATTGAGCGGGTGCAAGCTGGGAATCAGCGGCGAATCTTGCTGAAGCGGCTGTTGGGTCCCTGTTGCCGTGGTCAGCGGGGCCTTTGTTTTGTTGTGTGTGTGGGGGGGGGGTTGGAACAGAACAATAAGGTCAGGCAGAGGGTGAGCATTTGGTGTAGTTGGAGGAAGACAGGAAAGGCTTACGCGAGAATCAAATCCGGTTCGTCAATGCATGCAAAGGAGGTGTTTTGTGATGGGTGACATAAACCGCTGCAAGGGGCTTGTGTTGTGATGCTACGTTTGGGTGATGTCCTTGATTAAAGTGGCTGTTGAAGTGTGGCTGTTGAAGTGTGGCTGTTGAAGTGTGGCTGTTGGTGTGTGGTGCACGTGTGTGTGCGTGTGCACGTGTGCGTGTGTGTTGTGTGCGTGTGCACGTGTGCCTGTGTGTAGGTGTAGAAAAGGGATGACACCAGACAAGGGGTGTTTGTGGTGCTCAAACACCACCACAGGGAAACAGAAACGCTTTGGGTATACCTGTGAGGATTGGTATGACGGGTTCATGGCTGGAACTGTACACGCGCGTGCGGATGGATGTTTTGA